CCCAGAGAAGTTGTAGAATCTCCAGCCTTGAAAGTACTCAATCCACCTGGAGCTGGTGGGTTGGGTGAGCGCTTGGGTGAATGACCTCCAGTGGTCCCTGTCAGCCTCAGCCATTCTGCAATTTTGCAGATTTAGTGTCTTCAGTATTCAGTGCATTTTGGAAAGGCCTGGTATCTGTGTTACTGAAACTCAAGCCAAATGTAGAAACGTTTAAGCAACGCGTAATTGTGCACGTGTGTATTTGCACTGAAACAAATAACTGCATGTGTGTAAGATGTTTGTGTAACTGACGTAATAAAAACACTTTGTTCTGAACTCACAAATGAGGGTGTCCAGAGCTTCTAGAATAAGCATTTAAAACTGCAGAGTTCACATCCAAGTACCTTTTTAAAGTTATGTTTTCTGTCTTGAAGCCAGAGGGTTTTTCCTGTAACAGTGGCAATACTGTATGGGAAGAAGCTATTACCAAATGATCTAGTCCCTCTGCTGTCGTGAAGCTGCTTTCATGTCAGTATGTGAAAGCACCTGTGGTTTTGCTGGCTTCCAGTGCTGGAGAGGTAAAATTGATATCAAAATAGGACTTGCTTGCTGATTCATTGTAAATGAAACATGAAAAATAACTTTTAAGTGACCCACCCAATAAAATATCAGAGTGAGGGACTAAAACTGGATGAAGGACTAGAAGTAGAGTTTGTGTTTCAGTCTGAGTCTTGGCAGCAGAGCGGTGTTTGCTGTGTTGCCTGGTCTGGTGTGAAAGGTCACTTTTGTTTTCTTACCCATTATAACTTGAAGCTGCTTCTTTACCACTACAAAGAAAGACTTCAGTATTACTGGCTAGTTTTTCTCCAGGACTTTTCAGTTGTAATTGTCAATACTGAGTGTTGAATTCTAGCTGATGCCTTTGGTGCAATGATAAATGAAATATTTAAGGATGGGAAGAGAGTGTGAACAAGTTAAAAGTAAAGGATTCTTGTAAGAACTGTTCTTGTTTTCTAAGTTGTTTTCTTAGTTTTCTAGAACTAAGTTCTAGTTAACCTAATTGCAGTGTTATTAGTTATCCTAACCTGATAGATATTACCAAGTGCTATCAGTTAAATGTAGAACGTAACTTTCATCAAAAGGATCTACTGCAGAAAGAACAGTTCACGTTCTTCATGTGTGGGTTCAGTAGATTAGAATCGTTGAAACTCACCGGCGTGGGACTGAGCAGAACTGCAGAGCAGTAGCTCAAGGTGGAGTAAGCTTTAGTTGCAAAATAAAACCAAATCCTCTGCATGGAGTCATTCCCCTCACCAAACTGATAATCTCTATATGTCTAAAGGCATCAAAACTTGATACACCATACTCTTTAATACCAATCTTAGTCAGCATTTACTGCAGGGTTTTATAGCACAAGATTCAGCCTACCTCCTAATAAACTAATGTTAGAACTAGTCTACACCTTTCAAGCTGAATTATTCTTCACTGTATAAATCCTTATGAAGGATATGGTGAAGGAATGAATGTGCTGTCTGGAGAGAAAAAAATCCATGTTAAAAATATTTATTTGCATGTGGATTCCTTTTAGACTTTGTTATACTAAAGTTCCTATCAACTACTACAGAAATCCAGTGATACTGTAGCTGCTGTATAATACTGTCTCTTCTCTGAAATGCTACTACTGCATAGCTTGTGAATGAGTTGATTTGTTTCTTCCCTTTTTGTCTTCCAGCTTCATTTAGCAGCCCTGGCTTCATTAAAGGGAGACATAGTGGAGCTTAATAAACGTCTACAACAAACAGAAAAGGAACGTGATCTGTTGGAAAAGAAACTGGCAAAAGCACAGGTGAGCAATAGTAGTTCAAGATTCTGAAGATGGTCCTTGGTTTTGTGCAGCTGTTGTTTCTCAGAGAGAAATATAATATGTGGCGAGAGGATAAAATACTTAACAATGTCACAAGTGAAAAGAATTTTAAGACTGCAAGACACATAGTTGCCACGGGTTGTAAGTTTTATGTGTTGATGACATTCTTCAAAAAAAAAAAAAACACCTAAAAATAATTGGATTAGTTTATGAACAACAACTGCTTTGAAATATTTTAGAATATAAGAATTGCAGCATACATGCAGTGGATTAGGTAACTGGTTGCAGAGCCTTCCACTTCTGGGTCAGATGTAAACACAGCACAAATTAACACTGATAAAAGTTATTGCCAGTTGTCAGTGCTTTGGTGTTACATGAGAAATCATTTGTGATCTCATTCTAGCCTCTAGTAAGTCAACTTTTGTTTATCTGTTCTGGAAAACACAGCCGTATGAAAGCCAAGGGATTAAATAAGAATAAGATCTGATCTCTAATGATTTCACAGCAATTGTAGAGATGCAAATGCAAACAAAAAAAATTGAGCTATTGTTCTTAATATTTCTCTTTTCTGTAAACAGAATTTTTGTTTTCAGATAGTGTCTTTGTGTCAGATAGCATACTTTACATTTCAGAACTAATTCAAAACACATATTCATTTATGCTTGTATAGAGACAGTCAAAGCATTTTGTATTGTTAAGTATGGCATCTTATTTGTTTCCCAGAGAAGTTGTAGAATCTCCAGCCTTGAAAGTACTCAATCCACCTGGAGCTGGTGGGTTGGGTGAGCGCTTGGGTGAATGACCTCCAGTGGTCCCTGTCAGCCTCAGCCATTCTGCAATTTTGCAGATTTAGTGTCTTCAGTATTCAGTGCATTTTGGAAAGGCCTGGTATCTGTGTTACTGAAACTCAAGCCAA